AACTTCTATCATGATACATTAAATTGAATTGTGAGTGAACTCAGCTTTAAAACCATCGTAGATGGTTTGGGTGCTATTTTATACCAATATCCATTTAATGGTGAACAACTTATTTCCCTCTATTCATTAACACCATCAATATCATTGCCCGTGTTATGCTGTATTTTCTTTTAAAAGCTATAGCAGTCTTTTTCCTTTTATGATCGTATCGTTCAATGTAAATCAGCTATTCTTTTGTTTAGAGCCCGTTTGACAATCATTATTGTAGAAAAAAGAGTTTTGAACAATGATTTTTAAGAGACTGTGGGGTTAAAATGTAGGGAAAAAATGTTGGTGTACGTGTAGAATATTCTATTGTGTGAATGTGTAGTTAATTATGGTCCTGTAGCAAATCATAAAATAAATTAATGTGTGTCAAAAAAACACTTAATATTATTTATCTGTGATCTGTTGAGCAACCTTCTATAATAGTAAAAGGTTTTGGGCAAGGCATTATGCGCATTAGATAAATTGCATGCTTATAAACATAAAATGTGCATTAAAATGTTCAATGTCGTTTTAACTATGCATAATTCTTTTTAGGAATACTTACTACTTTAATCCATAGTGATGATCATTCTCTTTTTTAGCGATTAATATCTAAAATGTAATTATAGATACTTCAATATTTATAAATGTTTGTCATTTTCGGATATTAAAATGTCTTCTATCTCAATCGTTTCTGAAAGTGGTTGTAGTAATTAATCAGACTCCTAACAAACTGAACTATATCCTCCCGAGCCAAGTGGAGCATGATTGAAGTAGTCGGATCCTTCTCTATTCTTTACCCTGGTGTAGCTGGACCATCCTGTATATTACATAGACCAACAAATGGAACCAATTTAATATTATGGAACTTGGAGGAAGGCTTACCTTGGCACCGGCAGAAGCAAGTTCATTTTTGTTACTTTTCCATATCTCGTGAGTAATCTCTATGATGCCGAATTTTTGAAAATTTTCGTACAGTGTAAACCTTACAGGATTTAAGTTTAGTTCAACAATGAAATGTTCAATTTTATGAGTTTCATTTGTTTCCAAAATGTGTAATGAGAGATCTTTGTGGTTTCAAATTATTTTGCCTTAGGTTTTCGTGAGTTCTCGCTCTATGCCCATGTTTGGATGCCATTAAAATTAAATTTTGGAGAAAATTGTGTTTTGAAATATTATTTTTTTGAGAATGTGTGGTTTAAAATTAAGGAAAAATTTTGGATTTACGTATAATATTATTTTATTGGAGAACGTGTAGTCTAAAATAAGAAAGAAAAATGTATTTTTACAAAAATGGAGCCCAACTATGGGCTATGTTTAGAACATTTTTACTATATTTCAATTTCCTTCTTTGCTATGTGTTCTTATTTAGAAATGTAATCCGATCTCTCACAGATTTATAATCAATAATTATGCTTATGTTTTTGCAACTCCTCATTCATCATGTGCTTTGTTATGTTTTTCGCTAAAGCTATTTTTATATTTTCTAGATATGTTCTTTCCATTCTTATTTCAAATTTCGTAATCACTCTATAATGGTTAGTGGAGTAGCATGTCCTTTGTCTTTCAAATTTTCCCTTTTCTTTAGCCCCTTCTCTATGACCTTTTCTTTTGCTTCTTTCCTCTTTCATCATTTTTATCTTTGGTTCTATGGCAGCAACATTTTCAGCCAAACAGGTTTCAACATGATCAGAACGTATAGTATATAGCACGCAGGGCATTAGATGAGAAGGTTAAAGAGATGAAAGAAAAGGTAGTGAGGGCCAAAGCATACTTGAATTTTGTACCACCAAATAGCAGCTTTCATTTTGTAGAAGATTTGAAGCTAAGAATTAAAGAGGCTGAACGAGCTATGGATGAAATCATCAAATCTTATTCTCTGTCTAGGAGGTAGAGCACTATTTATTACTCTGTCTATTATTCTCTTTCTTCTGATAAACCCTCCTAATATTCTTCGTTTTCCTTATTTCATGCGAAAAGGAGTTCATATTAGCTAAAAGAGAACTTTGAATAGAGCCCTTTGAACTAGTGAATGGTGAGTAATATTCTTTAAAGTGGGCATCATTGGCAGTGCTAGATTGCATTTAACAATACAATACAATTCTTTTTCTTTTTTCCATTTCAAAAAACGATTCTTTCTATTGCTGAGTGATGATCAATTAATGTTCAATTAAGCATATTTTGAAATGAGCTAAATGAGTTACATTATTTAATAAACCAGTTAAATTTTCAGTGCTATGCAGAAGATGAAAACTATGGATTCTACTTTGTTAAAAGCCAGTCGTGTTTACCTTGATTGCTCCGCCATGGTGAAAAAGCTTCATGCTATGACTTACAATGCTGAAGCAGGTGCAATCTCAGAAGATGCAAGTTGCTTTTCCCGCCTCTCTTTGAAGTTGACTGCTGAATATTTTACCCTAGAGCCTGAGAAATGGGTGCTCCCCAACATAGATAAACTGTAAGATCTGGAGCTCTATCATTTTGCTGTTTTTTTCTGACAATGTTTTGGCTTATTCAATTGTTGTGAAACCCATTTCAATTGCTAGAGTAAGTTTCCACCATTTATCCAGCCCTTCCCCGATTGACAGTGGTTTTTGTTCTATGTTTTATATTTTCAGATTTCAACATAGGATCACTGAGATGCTAGCAAGTTAAGTTGAACTAGAAAATCACGAAGAGTGTCATAAAATTGGAGAAAGGAAATTGATTTGGTGGAGAGAATATTACTTAGAAATAGAATGCTGTTAGGGACCCCTAACAAATATCTTCTATGTTTTTGCATGTCTCTTTCTTCTTATTATGAATTTTTGTTGCCCAAGGACGTGCAACCAAATTTTGTTGATAGTATAGGCATACGACCTATGTTAGTGCAGTGTTGGACCAGACCTCCGCAAGGCTTCCTCAAATAAAATGGGCCTAATATTATTGGTATGTTTCAGACCCCTTTTATTAGACTTCTTTTTCTCTCTTAATAATTGTATATATTTACATAATTTTTTAACATCTAACTAAATTTCACTTGTGTAGAATTTGATATTTCTATCTTTTACTTATATGTAGTCAATGTGTAGGTGCCCAAGGACACAGTCAAATGCTCACCAAGGTTATGGCTTTGTGGAGTTGAAAAGTGAAGAAGAATGATTATGTATGTGCTACTTGTGCGAGCAAAACTGTTCATTCGGAATACAAGATTTATTTGTCTAAGTTATTTTCTTATGAGATCCATAATTTTGATTATTGGCGCCTTTTTCTGCATGCAGTTAAGGATCTAAATATGATTAGATTGCATGGGAAGGTTATACAATGAATATGGTATGTAATTACATGTCATTTTGTACTTCAGTTTGTCACCATTTTGTATGTTTTTGCAGATCCTAATATCTTTATTGTTATTGTAAGAATCACTGCAACATTGTAACTAAAATATGATTAATTTTTTTAATCAATTTGTTTTGGTTTTCAAGCATCTGAAGATAAAAGTGTTGATATGGGAGATAACCTGTTCATCGGAAACTTTCACCCTGTAAGAAATTTGGGAAGCTTCCTTTCATTATGTAGTTAGTTCAAATATTATATAAATAGTAACACAGCACACACACTTCTCTTGCTTAATTGATTTACCAGCAAGTTGAAGCTTACATTTGAATTTTAGAGTTTATTTGATTTTGATAGTTAATTGACAACATTTGTGTATTTTGTAGGTTGAGTTGCT